ACTTTAGAACTCACAGCCTCAGCCAGGCAGAGAGAAGGCGCCAGGAGAATGGCAGATGGAGGCCCATCTGAGCAACCGCACTCCCTCCTCCCAGAACAAGGCCCTGCCCAGAAAGGAATTATGGCTGGATTCTTTAAGTTCCGAAAAACAGCTCTGAGCCCTGGCCAGGTAGTTAAGTTGGTTAGAGCGCTGTCCCCGTCAGGACATACATAGGAATCAACCAATGACTACAAATTAAGGGAAACAAAAAATTCTCTCTCCCTCTTTCTACTCTCTCTCTTTTTCTCTCTAAGAAAAAACAAAAGTCAATAAAATAGTTGGTCTCTTTAAAAACAATTAAAAAAAATAACTCACCTCACCTGGCTGGTGTGGACTGAGTGCCAGCCTGTGAACCAAAAAGTCGCCGGTTTGATTCCCGGTCAGGACACCTGCCTGGGTTGTGGGCCGGGTTCCCAGTTAGGGGAATGCAAGGTAACCAATGGATGGATCTTTCTCACATCGATGTTTTTCTCCAGCTCTTTCTCCCTCCCTTCCCCTCTCTCTAAAAATAAAATCATTTAAAAGCTAAAGACAGAAAATCACTTTGAGAACAAGCTTGCTACAAGGCAGCAGAGCAGAGGGCCTTGTGTGTGGCCTGCATTCGAATAGTGACTCTGCCCTTTAAGGACAGTCTCGGCCAGGTGACAGTCTCTCAGAGCCTGTCCCCCTGTAAAGGGGATGACGAGTCCCTGGAAGATGGATGCACAGTGTCATGGCAGAGCAGAACAAGGGCCAGGCATGCTGGGTAGTGTGTCCTGGTTCCTCCCCTAGTTGTAGTCTCAAGTCACATCACCTCTTCGAACCTCAGTTGTACGACCTGCTCAGTGGGAATAATTAGGATCCCTAAGTGTCAGTTGGAGATTCCGATCAGGTATGTGAAAGTGCCTTGTACTCAGAAACGTCGACCACCCAGAAGGCGTTCTCCGCACAGCCAGCAGAAACGACGGCTGTCCCTCCAGAGCTGGGCCTGAGCTCCGCGTGGACCCTCTGTCTCTGGCCCCGTGGCAAGTGTTGAAGAAGCCTCTGCATCTCAGGCCCCAGTCCCAGGCACCAGGGTCCCCCTGGAGGAGGAGGGAGTCACGGGGCGGTTGGGGTCTCTGAATTCTGAGCTGTGGGGTGCCCCTGCTATGAGAATGTCATTGGCCCTCCACCAGTTTACAAATGTGGGGGTCACCTCCAGTTTCCCAAGATTCTTCACCCCCCTCTGGCCTCGTCCACACTTCAACACATGTTTCGTTCTTCAGAAAGCCGGTCACACCCGGTGCCACCGCCCCCTGGAGCACTTCACTCAGGGGTCTCCCATTTCAGCCTGGGGCTCTGTTAGGTGTTTGTTGGCCCCTCTTAACACTTCCCAGTTTTAGCCTGATGGGCTTCTGTTCCACAGGGTGATCTTGATGTCCCCCAAATACACTGCAGACGCTGCACAGTCAAATCTATTCACGGGGCTCCATTTTTTTAAGGTATAGTTCAACCATCAAAACTCATCTTTAAATAGTTCTAGCCATTATTTGTCTCTCTCAGAGAACGTCAGTGAGGGGCCAGGTCTTGCCCCACCAGGACACCTGTCACCCCCGTTTCTCCCCTTCCAGGATCTCAAGGCCTCACACTCCGGCCACAGCGGAGGCTCTGTCCACAAGTGTCTGTCTCCCGGGCCTCAGCCTGGCTCCCTCCCCCTTGTCCCGGCCCGACCGTACAGGACCCTGCGGCCTTACTGGCATCCAGGCTCCCTGCTCCTCCCACCTCCCTGACCCTCCACCAGGGAGGAGAACCCAGGAGCGGACCGAGAAGGCACGGAGCTCCCTTTCCCGCCCGCGCCCCGTCCTGGCTCTCCCCTGTTCCCCAGGTGCTGCGTCGCACCGGGCTGAAAGCAAAGTCAAAGCTAGAACCTGGGAAAGGTGAGGCACGTGGCCGGCCAAGGACAGATGCCATTCTTGGGTGGCAGGGCATGGGGAAGAGTGGGCACTCCATCACATCTTGTTCCTTTGTCCCCACTTCCCATCCTGTGACTGGAATCAGCAACCACCCCCTCTCCTTGCTGAGTCGCCTAATTAGGAATTCAGGGCCATCTCTCTTGAGTCTGTGGGACAATGGAGCAGACCCAGGCCATTTGGGGCTAGGGACAGAGACCAGAACAGGGGGAGAGGCCCCTGAGAGCAAAGGCTGACCCGGTGAAGGGCAGTTTGTTTTAGGAGGTGTCTGGTCTCACCCACACTGGAAGAAAACAGAAGGTGCACAGTCCCTGGCATCTTGGTGCTGGACTGCGGATCTGCAGGAACAAATAGGAAGCTTGCGTTCGCAGGCACTGCCTGGATCTCCCTGACAGAGGAGCAGCTGCCTGCTGGTGGAATCAACAGCAGTTTGAAAAAAAATCTGGCCACCTTCCAAACACCTCCAGCCTTGGATTCCAGATCCTTCTTACAGGGCTGGTGGAGGGCCCGGGTGTGATTAGAAGATTCAGGCCCAGGTGCCCCCTGCTTCTGAGAGCTGCCCCCTAACCACCCGGCTGGCAGAATGGAGATGAGAGGGCCATTTGGGGACAGCTCTGCTGGATCCCAGGGCTGGGGGAGGGCAGGAGGGTCCTGCTTCCGCTGCCAGGCCTGGACAAGCAGAGCCACTTCTGCCCCAAGCAAATGAATTCAAAGTTTGGCCAAGCCTGTTTGAGTTGGTGAGAGCCCAAGTGGGAATTCCAACCTACCAGTGTTTGCTCTACAGGCGAGCAGAGCCAAACAGAAATGCTGCTTTCAGAGTTTGCGCCAAATACCCATTGGCTTGCTCTGCCAGCCGTGCTGGGCCAGCCCCCTGCATGTCGCCCTCTCACATTCTCTGCTCCTTGACAGCCTGTGCCCTTAAAAGCAGCTTGCCACAAGCCAGGCGCGAGGCCTCCCTGCTGGGCCTGGAACCCAGACCTCCCAACCCAGGTCTGCTTTGCCAGCCACAGGCCCTGCACCAGCCCCACCCCCGCAGGTTCCTGACCTCTGCTCCCTGCGCTCAGCTCCTGACCCTCCTCCCGCCACTGCAACATTGGCCCTGTCCCTCTCTGGCCCTGGCGGGCACAGCCCACTCTGCAGCTGACCGCCAAGCAGAGGCAGAGCTGACAGCCAGAAAGCACACACCACTAAGTTGACCACATCTTGTTTCACACCGTTTTATCTGGTCCTTACAGTTTTATCAGCCCACTTCTCGGAGGAAACAGCTGAGATTTCCATGGCTTGGACACCTTGCCCAAGGTCACCGATGAAGGAATCCCGGCCGGTCTCCTGACTCGGGAACCAGGGTACTTTCTAACTCCCCGAGGCACTTTTTTAAATCTTTTGCTCACCCCCAGATTCCTGAGGCAGTTCCCAGGGTTCCAGTGAGAGCAGCTGATGTGTTCTATTCGTGGGAGCAAGGCTGGCACAGCTGCTGTGAGTGCTTGGCCACCCCTGCTCTGTCCCCGCCCCGAGCGGGGGCTCTGCCGAGGCCTGGCTGCCCTGCTGACTGCGCTCACCCACCCCAGCAGCACCCCTGGGAGCCCCCCGCCGGCATGGTGAGGCACTGAACGCATACAGCCCTGCACCTCTCCCCCACCACAGAGGGCAGGGGCACCCTGCTCCCTTCAGGCCCAGCTCCTGGGCAGTGGCACGACGTCCTCCCCACCCCAGGGGGCAGCCAGGTTCCCTCCCCTGCCCTCAGAGGACTCCCCCACGGCGCGGGGACAGGCCTCACTCTCCAGCAACCCTTGGCACTGCTCACATAATCCTCAGTTTGGTCCTGAGAGGTGAACACCCGCAAATGGACACAATGTGAGTACCTAGTGGATGTGTGCTCTCTGCACTCAAACAAGCATTGTCACCTCCTCAGGAAACCTCCTCGTCCAGTCTGACTGGACCTCTGTCTCCCCTACACAACCGTGGGCACCGTGAGGGCCAGGACCAGACTGCGGGCCTCTCTTCACTGAACCCCAACACCCAGCACAGCTCAGTAAATGGCAGTCAACACAGAAATAAAACCACAAATATAGGTTTCTACCTGCCCTTTTCTATGGCCTCAGGGGCGCTGTCACCCAGGCCCGGAGCCCATGGGCTCACCCATGGCACCCTTGTGTCCGGCCGCTCTCACCTCAACCCAGTGTGTTTCTCCAGTGTGGGTCCTGGGTCTTTCTGCACTTGGCTCCTCCCAGAACCCACCCCCTTCTGTCTGAGATGTCACTGCCAAGGTGACAGGCCTTGGAAATACTGCCCAGCCATGGAGCAGAGGGGAAACCACCAGACTGCTGGCTGGCCACTCGGGGGCGAAGGGTGCCAGCCCCTTGCCCTACCTGGGCCTTCGAATGGCTCCATCATGGCTGGACCAGCAGGTCCCAGGACCCTGGCAGCTCTGGCAGTCACTTGGCTGGGAATGTGGCAGAAAAGCCCACCTTTTTGGTGAAGAGTCCTAACTGACCATAAGAGGGGAAGCAGCCCGAAGTGCCTGAAACTAGTCAGCCAGACCAGCCTACCCCGAGCTCCACGCCCACACGGCAGGGCCCTGCCAGTCACAGCCGCCCCCTCGGAGCACCACGGCCTCTGTGAGCCTAGGAGAAAGCAGGGACGACCTCCAAAGAGGGTGCCCAGAGCTGTGGGCTGCAGAGCTTCCAAGAGGGAAGTAGGTCACGCCAGCTTGAAGGAGCCCCACACTCTCTGGGGGCTGCTAGGTCTAAGGCCCTTCTGGGTCTGGGGTCCTCAGGCAGCTTCCCCAGGAACGCAGTGGGTCCCTGCTGCTGGGGTCAAGGGAGGAGAGGTCCAGTACAGCCTGTGGCTGTGCCCCCTGGCCAGGATGAGTCTTGGGCCTGCTCCTGTCCACCCCCGAGATCTGGCTGTGTTGTGAGGCGGGGGTGTTGGGGAATCAGGCATCATGGAACCTGCCCAGACCCAGCCCTCAGGGTGGGGAAGCGCCGTGACGCAGCAACTGTGCAGAGGCCAGCTCCGAAAGCCTGTGTTTACTGGGGCCCCTCACAGGCTGCGAGCCCGTCTGGGCCTGGGCGCCCACACCAAGCTACACGTTGTCCACCTTTTCTGAGGAGTGCGACCGCTTCTTCTGGGGTAAGTCTTCCAGCATGAGGCTCAGCACGTGCACGATCTCGTAGTACAGCTCCTGAAGCCTGGAAGCGGGGCAGGAGGGGCCTGAGTACAACAGGGCTCCGTGCCACCCGGGCCCCACCGTCACACCGGGGCAGCCACCACACCTAGCAGGTATGGGGTCAGGAAAAACCAAGGTCCTCCGAGCCCAGCCCGGCTGCACAGGAGCCCAGGTCTGCCGCTCCACCCGTGGCCCCCATGTGAGTTATTTTATCACACGAGTCAAGGTAGAGATGACATGCTCCTGAGCTCTGAGTGCTGTGACCAGGCGGAGATGACAGACACTGCCTGGTCCCCTCTGGGCCCACAGGAGGTGCTCCCTGAGGCCTCCTTGCAGTCCCTCCAGTCCACAAAGCCCTCCAGGAGACTTCCGTTCTGAAACCAGGCTGATTGCATCCTTACTTGTTCCAAGAGCCCACTGTGGCTCCGTAGGGCTACACACACCCAGGTCCCCTTCCCGCAGTAATGGCCAGTTACCACCCCAGCTAACTTCGCTGAGCACAGCCCTGGGCCAGGCCAGACTCACAATTTCACAGAATTGGCCCCACAGCCCCTCATTGGCAGGTGGGAAAGGGGCGGAGATGGCCCTGAGTCACAGAGGAAAGTAGTGGCAGAAGCAGGCCAGGAGCCTCAGCTCTCGACTCACTGGCCATGCTCTTCCCTCTGCCCCTGGAGAGGGGTCGGCGAGGACAGGCCGGAGAGTCAAAGGAGCCGCACTTAAATGCAGTCCAGGGCAGGCTGGGGAGAGGCAGGGGAGCGGAGTCACCCGCCCCGGGCCTGCCCACGCCTCAGCTCAGCCCCCTGCATACATGGGACCCTGCACACCCCAGAAGGGCCTCTCTCCACCCAGCCTGCTCATTGGCCATCGCACCCCTTGCTGTCCCGGGCACCGGACATGGCCCTGCCTCCAGGAAGCAGGGGACCAGGAGACGGCTGGTCTCCTTAGGCCAGGTCAGTGGGGCTGGGACTGACTTGTAGATTGTGGTGTCCTGGTTGTCCAGAGTAGACAAGTAGACATCGATGAAGGGCAGGCTCGTGCCAAAATCGTCCAAGACCATGGGGTCCGTGTGCCGCAGGGTCCTCTTGAAGTTCTCCACCAGCTCAGTGAAACTTCTGTAGTCGACATTTTTCTAGAGAGGGCAGCGTAAAGATATCAATGATAAGGAAGGGGTGACACCCCAGACACACAGAGGCCTGGGGACCCTCCACACGGGCCCCAGCAGCACTGGCCCTGATCCCAGGGTGAATCCTGAGCCTAACTCCAGTCACCTGGCCCCTTCTGAGTCGGGACCCCCTGACCGAGGTGGCCTCAGGAGCCACCCTCACTGAGGTGAGGACAGATGACACAGGAAGGAACCTGCGAGGGCCTGAGGGTGGCACAGCCTGGCCTCACGTGCCCTGAACAAGCCTTACGCACAGTCTAGAGCGGCAGATGTCTCTGCCTCAGAGAGGAGGCTCAGGAGGGATGCACTGACCCCGTGAGGGAAGAAGGGGCAGCACTTCTGAACCTGGCGGAGCACCCAGGGCTCAGCACGGGGAGCTCGCAGCCCAGCCCTTCCAGCTGTATCGTGCCCGACGGACACTCTCCAGCCTGATGTGCTCTTCATGTTCAGTTGAGAAAAACCGAGGTTCATAACACCTCTGCATGGCCTCACCCACTCAGGACAGGGGCCCAGTGAGCCCTCAGTAACAAGAGCGCTGCAGGCAGAGGGCCCAGCAGCACAGCGTGGCCCGGGAAGGAGGGAGAGGTTATAACCACAGCATTCCACGTGCTCACAGGGCCAGAGAAGTACAGAAGTGCCAAGAATAAAGCCCGCCCTCTCCGCAGGCCTCAAGGCTCCTCTTCCTGGCCGTTCGGTCAGCCCGACTGCCCACGTAGCTGTGTGTCCGCCTGCTGGGGGGACCGCACACCCACCTGCATCTGCATCAGCCTGCTGACCTCCTCCTGCTGCCGCTTCAGGAGCACCTGCTTCTCCTTCAGGAGCGTCAGGTGCCTCTCCAGCATCAGCTCCCGCTCAAACTTTTTGATGGAGTCCTGGAGAGTGGGGCCAGAGGTGAGGTGAGAGCCCTCGCTGCACACCCACCCCCAGACTTTCTTGCTACCTAGCCTTGCACGGTGGCTCAGACCCCTCAGCAGGAGGACCCCAACTCAAGCTGACAGCGCAGCTGCAGTGACTTCCCATGCCCCTGTCCCGCTGGCCACCACTACGAGGCAGGGAAATGCACTGGCTCAGGGAGAAGAGTAGGGCTGGGTGGAGAGGGCCCCCTGGGCCACCGCCCCTCCACTTTAGGAGGAGGCCAGTGCAGGGTCCTCCCTGAAGACTTGGGCCCACCCCTGAGCCTGCCTGCCACACCCGAGCCGACTCCTGGCCTGCACACACGCAGCCCCACCTCAGTGTGGATGATCATCACACCCACGAACATGCTGAGGAAGATGAAGGAGGCAAGCAAGATGAAGGTGATAGTGAACGCTCGGCTCAGCATGAAATTCCGGTTGTCCAGCTTCTCCTGCAGGTCTGTCCAGCCATCAACCTACTCGGGCAAGGGAGGGCATGCCGAGTGCCAAGGCCCAGCGGGGTGGGCTTCCCACTCACCTACCTTATGGAAGCCCTCACCCCACCGGAAGGAAGCTGGTTCTGCCTCCATAAAAGCCCCTTGGAAGCCCCTAGTCCACTGACTCCAGTGCATAGGCGGTGGCTCGGGGGTGCAGGTCACCACTGGGTGGGGGCGCTTCTGGCCAAGGCTCCCCGAGGGCTCTTCTCCAAAAGACTTCCCACCCTTTTCCAAAGACTCTGCCTCTCTGCCAGGAAACTCCTTGGAAAAGACTGCAGTCTCTGCAGAGTCCAGCAGAGTCCAGACTTCTAGACTTGGGCTTTGCGGGCTTATTCCGGGTGGGTCTGTGACAGTCTGTTCCAAAAGGCTAAGCAACACAGGCTTCACTTCTAAATTAAACTTAATCCAAGTGGATCATCTTTTGCGAACCCTGTGACATTTTTACGACTCTGTGAGACAAATGGGGACGCTCCAGGGAGTCACAAGATTAGAGACAGAGATGGACCCCTGGCCAGAGCACTCCCTGCTGCCTCAGTTTCCCCACCCAGGGAGGTATCTGAGCATGGGGAAGGGCCCGCGGGAGGCCCAACACGTCCACACACCCGCGCCTGCTGGCGGTCCCTCCTCCAGGACCCCCACCACCACCACTCCCAAACACGGTACCGTCGCCAAGCTAAAGAGGGTGAAGAAGGCCACAGCCAGGTTCTCCCAGTTATTCAGGTCGCCCCCTTCGGGACCTCCGAACAGGCAGAAGCCCAGGACGGCGAAGATGTACATCAGGATGAAGAACAGGACGAGCACAGAGGCCACGGTGTAGGCCGTCTGCCCGATGGCGGTGATGAGTGTCTGCAAGGCAGAGGCACCGGGCTAGGCAAGCCTGCCTGCGGGGCGGGCGCAGGGGACAGGCTCCAGCCCACCCAGCCCACAGCTGTCCCCAGCATCCAGTGCCCTGCCTGCCCACAAATGCTTGGACGGAGAGATGGAAGGAGGGAAGGGAACCCTGCCCAGACTGAGGGCCAGTCCAGTCCAGCAAGCCCTGCTGTCACCTGTGGGCAGACTGCGTGAGCCGTCTCAGGTCTGGGGGGGCCTCCCCATCAGCACCACACACTGTTCCACTCGGACCCCTGTCTGGCCTCACGGTCAGGCCAAGGTGGCCTGCTCCTGCTTCTCACCGAGGCCCAGCCCTGGGTGCTGTTCCAGGACTAAGAGGAAGAAGGGAGCCACTCAGGGAGGGGAAAAGAGGGGGCTGAGAGGATCATGGCTTCCCATCCTTTCTGGGCCCCACTTCACAGGCAGGTCTCTGTCCTGTGACCTCAGTCGGACCCCCCACTACACCGCCCAGTGCTGGGGAGCACACTGCAGGGCTCCTCGTCATTCATTCTTCAGGACCCAGAGTCCTGAATGTCGTTAGTAGGTGCTCAGTACATGTTCACCTACCTAGACGCTGTCACACACATCGTGCCAAGGTAGGTAAGTGTTATCAATCTTCCCATTTCAGGACGAGGGAGCAGAGGCTCCGGCAAGAACGAGGCTTGGCCAGGCCCACACCCAGGGCATAACTGGGCCCAGCTCTCAAGCCCTTTGCCTCCTGCCACCACCCGCAACCACTAAGACCCCTTTTTCTAAGCCAGGAAACTGTTGATTAGCTTGACGCTAGGAAAGGAGGCGCCTGATAGAGCTGGGACACAGAAGAGTGATGTCTGGGCAGTTGGGGTGATTTGGGAAGCAGAGAGACCACGCGGGAGCTCCAGGGCTGCCCTGCGCCGGTGCTGGTTGGGCAGCTGCCTGCCGGGGGAACGCATGTCAGATGCCTCCCTCCCGGCTCAGAGGAGGAAGCATATCAAGGCTTTGAGAGTCATTCTGAAAGAGCCGAGATACGAAAAATGGCCTCCCTCCCTGTGAGCCGGAGACAGAACTTCCTTCCCAGGAGCCATCACGACTGAAGAGGTGAGTCGGCAGAGCAACGCCCAGGACGCCGTCTGCAGACGAGGTCTGCCCAGGAGGGGAAGGTGGAGCACAAAGTGGTGGAAGCTGAAGCGCCGAGGAAAGGAGGGGGAGAGGCCCCGGCTGGGTCTCCCACCTCCAGGCCAGCCGCCTGAGGTCAAGGCCAAGCAGCTTTAAGAACAGCCTTGAAGAAAAGGTCCCCCTCCCCAGAAGCCTCCATGGGACTGACACCTGACAACAGGCCTTGGCCATGTTCTTTGAGCACAGCCAGGCAGAACCTATTAGTCCACAACCCGGAATGTGCAGCAGTGTGGTCCCCAGGTGGTGGCCCAGATCCCCAAGGCCAGTGGTTTCTTCCCTAAGGAAGCCCCAGGCTGTGAGGCCTACAGCCTAGCCCCCAGGAAGTTCAAAGTCAGGAGACTTTGAATTCCCAAATTCTTTAAGCAAACAACACCTAGCCCCCAGTTCAGCCTTCCTGGGCTCTGGGTCAAGCCCAGGGGCATTCTGGGAATGAAGAGGACCTCCGGGCAGGGCACAGGCCCAGACCCGGCTGCTCGATGTGGGGAAAGTGATGAGCCCCAAGGAGGAGGCAGGGAGGAAGATGAGGCCGGTGCTCCCCACACAGCCCAGCTTCTGAAGGTTGTTCTTCAGACCGAAATGCAGAGAAATGGGCAGTGTGTGGCCCTCAGGTGCCCAGCTAACAGAACTTCTCTCTGTGGAAAAGCAACAAGAAACTCCCCTCATGGTGCAGGTTTAGTGCCACAAGGCAGAAGGCAGAGAACCGTTTAAATTAATCAGGGGACAGAGGCTAAGAATGTGCGGAAGCGCCAGCTCTGGGCACGGAGGCTGGGGCCTGTTAAAGCTTCATTCAGACGTCAATGAATATAAATAGCACAGAGCTGCAGGTCTCCACCTTTGGTGCCTCCAGGTACCCTGGCGAGCGGGCCAGGGCAGTGTAGCCAGGGCACAGACGTTAGAATCACTTCTGAGGCCCTGAGGGTCTGCAGTCCAGTCATATCCCCAAGGTCACAGGAGAACCACAGCCAGGAAGCCTAGTGGTCCCTGGGAAACAACTTTTGGGTCAAGGCTCTGCTTACTAATGGAAAACCCAAGGTCAAACAGTCATACGGGCTGTACGTCAGCGCGCACGTTGTGCCTGCGTGCCCACAGGTCTCCGAGAGAGTGTGCAAGGGCCAAGGCTGAGCAGAAGCCTGTAGTCACCAGACAAGCCAGGTTCAGCTCTGCGATAAACCTCGGCCAGCGGGGTGGGCTGTGCTCCCTTCACTGGATCCCTGGGCTTGAAGGGTGGGCTGTCCCTGCCGGGACCTAAGCCCCAGGCAGCCTCAGGCTTCACCTCTGACCAGGCCGTCATGACATGGCCAAGACAATGCACTCGGCAGGCAGCTGCTGCCCTCAGCCCCTCAAGGTGCCAATACAGGTCAGTGCCCTGGCCCTACCCCCAACCCCCAAGACAGAAGTCCCTCCTGCCCCAGGCCTTTCTGCTTCCCTCCTCTCGAAGCCCAGTGCCACCGACCTCCTTCCTCGTGTGACTTTGCAGGTCTCTGGTTCCTTCATTCCATGGTGATCCCTCTCCTGGCCTCACCTGAAAATCCTCTCTTGCCTGAGGGAGGCTGCCTGTCCCCCACGGACATGACTCAGGAAGCTGCCCACTGCCTCATTCTCGGAGCCCTGACCCCCGTGGACAAAGCCACTGCTTCGGAGCAAGGCCGACCTTCCGGCTTCCCCCTCACCGAGTGTCTCAGAATCTCTCTGTCAGGCCCCGCCCCATCCTGCTGACCGGGGACCTCCGGCTCCCCGCCACACCCAGGCTCCTCCGTCCCTTGACTCCCTCACACCATGTGAGGCCCCTCCTCCCGGGGTGCCCAACACCTGGAAGAACCGGGCCTCACCTCCCACTGTCTGATCCCTCCTCACTCTGAGGTGCCCACTGCCTAGCACTGACTCCCCAGGGACCTCCAGCGTTCTCTCCTGACCGCCTTGCCTTACTCTCGAACCTACACGATGTTGACTCCAGTGCCCAGCAGCCCAGACACTGCTTTCCCACTCCCAGGTCACACTCCAGGGTCTGTCTCCAGGCCACAGACAAGGGCAGCCAGGGGCAGGTTTCAAAAGGAAGGGTGTCATGATTTCATGCTCGCTCTGGAGATTCCCCCAGCCGCTGGGGCATTTTGATTCCAGAACTCCCAGTAGTGTGGGAAGCCACTGCAGGAGTCCAGGTAAAGGTGGGTGGTGAGGGGCGGGAAACGATGGCTATGGAAATGAAGAGAAGTGGACACTCGGTAACTATGCAGGAAGCCATGCAAGAGGACTCTGGGAGACAGGAGTCAAAGCAACACTCCACTGTATTACCTGGAAGTTGAATAGGCTCAGGGGAGGGCCTTTCAGCAAAAGACAAATACAGGAGGAGGAGTCAGGGCTCGGGGAGTTGAGAGTAGGGTGGGGGACAAGCGTCGACTCCCAGCTGAGACAGGCTGAGTTTGAGGAGCCTGCAAGATGTCCAGGAGGTGGCCGGGTGTGAAGGTCAGAGAAAGAGGCATGGGCAGGTGAAGACTCCCAAAAAGTAGAAAATATCACCCAGAGAGAATGTGCAGAGATGAGAACTCAAGACATAGTTCTGAGAAAACAACAGTTAGGAGCCAGGCAAAGGAACTGTACCCCAGAAGTCATGCCCGAGAGACGGGAGGTGAACCCAGAGAGAGCAGTGATAAGGGAAACCACCAGTAGACTCAGTGACCAGGAGGTTGCTGGCAACCTCAGAGGGACTAGTAACTTGGAGTGGAGGGAAGAAGCCAGGGCACAAATGACAGATAAGACAGTGGGGGCCGGGACTACAGACACCTCTTTCCAAAGCCTCGCCACAGGCAGGAGGCGGCAGCTGGACTACATTGTGTGGGAGGGACACACAGGCGTGAGACTAGGTAAGAGCGAGGAATGAAGGCAGCTTTGTGGCAGGAGGAGTCCTTTCACGCTGCCCTTATCCTCTCCCCCTAGGGCTGGGGCTCCCCGGGTGTCAGTTCCAGGCCCTGGACAGACACCGGGCTAGGCCAGGAGCAATCTCAGCCGGAGAGGCTGGCATACTCTCACTGGTCACATAGGTCCAAACCAGCCCCTTCCTGGAGAAGCACGGACACACAGGGTGCGGAGCCGGGGCAAGCATCCTGCATCCAGGCTGATGCCCGAGAGCACTGTGGGTTGGCTCTGAGGACTGAGGAAAGGCCGGTCACCCCACGACTTCTCAGCAGGGGCAGCACTTCCAAAGTCATGAGACTATTCCCACCACAAGCAGCAGCAGATTTCTAGCTGTTTGGGGAAAGCAGTAAGTAGCCCGGCCCCCCCGCCCCCGGGCATGGTGTTTGAAGAGTCTGTGCCTAAAAAAATGGTGCACCTTGCGGCATGGCACCAAGGAAAACTTCAGGTGACTCTAGAGCCAGCTGCACCTCTCAAATCTCAGCTCTGGCTTCTAACTGCTGCATGACCTTGGGTCTCAATCTCTTCATCTGTAATATGGAGCTAATAATACCTTTCCCACCACTGATGTAGGATTACACGAGATAATATCGTAAAGATCAATCTGCCATATAGCAGGACTCACTGGCTGGATGACAGTAATACAATTATCATCTCATCAGGCGCTGGTGAGCAGACAGGCCCTGACACCTGCACCCCCAGACCCATAGCGCCCCAGGTGACTCACCCGGATGCCACGGCTATAGGTGATAAGCTTCAGGATGCGCAGGGACTGTATGCCATCAGCAATGTTGAGGTAGGGGTAGTGCTTGCCCTTGACCTTGCGGAGAAAGTAGGGGATCGAGATAGTGATGATAATCACCACATCTAGAAGATTGTAGCCATCCTTCCAGTAGTTGATGGGGTCCACGTAAACCTTCAGGTAGAATTCGACAGTATAGATGGTCACACAGATCATCTCCAAGATCTGCAAGAGTGGCAAGGTTTGGAGGGTCAGACATATATATATTTATTAGAGAGAGAGAGAGGAAGGGAGGGAGGGAGGGTAGGGGAAGAGAGATTTGTCATTCCACTTACTTATGCATTCATAGCGTGATTCTTTTATGTACCCTGACTTGGGCTTGAACCTGCATCCTTGATGTATCAGGATGACACTCTAGCCAACTTAGCTACCTGGCCAGGGCTTCTAAATACTTTTCTAGGACTTCCAGCCAAGATGGAGGTGTAGGTAGGTACGCCTTGCCTCCTCAAACAACCAAAAGAAGGACAACAACAAATTTAAAAACAAAAAACAACCAGAACTAACAAAAAAATCAAACTGTATGGAAGTCCAACAACCAAGGAGTTAAAGAAGAAACATTCATCCAGACCAGTAGGAGGGGCGGAGACGGGCAGCCAGGGTGGAGGGGACTCAAGGCAAAGTGGCAGCTGGCAGAGTAGGCGGTCCCATATATAGATGCGGACAGACCGAGAGGAAAAACCAGGGAGCTAGACAGACCGCACAACCCAGGGTTCTAGCACAGGGAAATAAAGCCTCAAAACCTGACTGATAAAACCTGTGGGGGTTGCAGTGGCAGGAGAAACTGCAAGCCTCACAGGAGAGTTTGTTGGAGAGACCCACAATGTCCTAGAACGCACACAAACCCACCCTCCCGGGAATCAGCACCAGAAGGGCCCGATTTGCTTGTGGGAAGTGGCAGAGGGGACTGAAAGCTGGCAGAGAGCTAAGCAAGTGTCACTGTTCCCTCTTGGAGCCCTCCCCCACATGTAGCGTCACAGTGCAGTGACATGGTTGCCCCACTCTGGAGAATACCTAAGGCTCCACCTCTTACTACGTAATAGGTGCACCAAGACAAAAAAATATGGCCCAAATGGAAGAACAGATGAAAGCTCCAGGAAAAATACAGCTAAGCAATGAAAAAATAGCCAACCTATCAGACATAGAACTCAAAACACTGGTAATCAGGGTGCTCACAGAATTGGTTGAGTATAGTCACAAAATAGGGGGAAAGGTGAAGGCTATGAAAAGTGAAATAAAGGGAAATGTACAGGGAATCAAAAGTAAAGGGAAGGAAACTGGGACTCAAATCAATGCAGTGGACCAGAAGGAAGAAGTAAACATTCAACAACAAGAGAATGAAGAAATAAGAATTCAAAAAAAAAAAAATGAGAAGACTAGGAACCTCTGGAACAACTTTAAACATTCCAATATCCAAATTATAGGGGTGCCAGAAGCAGAAGAAGAGCAAAAAATTGAAAACTTATTTGAAAAAATAATAAAGGAGAACTTCCCCAATCTGGCAAAGGAAATAGACTTCCAGGAAGTCCAGGAAGCTCAGAGAGTCCCAAAGAAGTTGGACCCAAGGAAGAACACACCAAGGCACATCATAATTATATTACCCAAGATAAAAAATAAAGAGAGAATCTTAAAAGCAGCTAGAGAAAGAGACAGTTACCTACAAAGGAGTTCCCATTACACGATCAGCTGATTTCTCAAAAGAAACCTTACAGGCAAGAAGAGGCTAAAATGAAGTATTTAAAGTCATGAAAGGCAAGGACCTACATCCAAGATTGCTCTATCCAGCAAAGCTTTCATTTAGAATAGAAGGGCAGATGAAGTGCTTCTCAGATAAGGTCAAGTTAAAGTTCATCACCAAGTTCTTACTATATGAAATGTAAAAGGGACTTATCTAAGGAAAAGAAGATAAAAAATACAAACAGCAAAATGACAACAAACTCACATCTATCAACAACCAAACCTAAAAAACAAACAAACAAAAATAAACTAAGCAAACAACTAGAACAGGAACACAGTCACAGAACAAGAAATCACATGGAGGGTTATCAGTGAGGAGGGGGAGGGGGAAGAATGGGGGGGGAAGTACAGGGAATAAGCATAAATGTTAGGTACAAAATAGACAGGGGGCAGTTAAAAATAATGTGGGAAATGGAAAAGCCAAAGAACTTATGTGTATGACCCATGAACATAAACTAAGGTGGGAAAATGCTGGTGGGAGGGGGGTACAAGGCAGAGATGTGAAAAAAATGTCCCATTATTTTCTCCCCTTTATTTCCCTGTACAGGGGGGTAAAGGGGAAAAAAGGGGAGAAAAAATGAAACAACTTTAATGGCATAATCAATGAAATATATTTTAAAACTTTTTAATATTTTGTTATTGCAAATATTACCTTTTTGTTGCTGACTTATTAAATATATTTAAATGTATTTATTAATCATATACCCAGCAAACTTGCTGGACTTCTTATCTATTAACTTTATTAATAATTCTTTCAGGTTCTTTTGGGATTTCTGTGCAGAAATCACATCACCTGTGAATAATGAGTTATTTTCCTCACTTCCTAATCCTTAATGCTTTCTTTTTCCTGTGTTATACATTAGCTAAGACTCTAATACAAATTCATCAGTAGTAACTGGAATACTGGTAGTTTTACCATTCACTGTGAATTTTGATATAGATTTTTCATAGGTACCCTTAATCAGCTTAAAAACACACCCCTCCCATTCCTAGTTTGATCAGTTTTTTTTATTCAGTTTGCAAAGTTTTTATCATGAACGATATTCATAGTAAACTTTTTTCTGCATCTCTTGAAATGATCTTGCAGGATTTTTTTGCCTTTTAATAGTTTAAGCTAGTTAATAAAATGTGTAGATTTTTCTAACACGCACATACCTGAAAAAAACCACCTTGGAAATGGTATACTACCTTTTGGATGCATTTTTAGAATTTAGTTTCCTAATATTCTGTCTGGAAACTCTGTGTCCAACTTCATAGCACTGGGTACAATTTTTCTTCTTTGTACTATCCTGGTCTGATTCTGGCATGAAGGTTCAGAAAACAAATTGCCTGTGGGCAGGGCAGACACTTATTTATTTGATTTACTTAAAGTGTCTGATAGGTTTGGAATTATATGTTCCATGGGTATAAAACCATTGAGTCCAGTTGTTTTGGGAGATGAAAAACTTTAACTACTAATTTAACACTTTAACACCATTAAAGGACACAATAAACATGTAAGATTATTGCAGGCTTTTGCTTTTCTTAAATTTTTATTTTATTGATTATGCCATTATTACAGTTGTCCTATTCCCCCCTTCATTCCCCTCCACCCTGCACACCCCCACCCCCACCATTCCCCCCCTTTAGTTCATATCCACGGGTCTCAAGTTCTTTAGATTCTATATTTCCCCTACTATTCTTGCCCTCCCCTCATCTATTTTCTACCTGCTGTCTATGCTACTTATTTTCTGTACCTTCTCCCCGCTTCTCCTCCTCCCACTCCCCTGTTGCTAACCCTCCTTGAGATCTTCATTTCTATGTTTCCACTCCTGATCTAGCTGCCCTTTTAGTTTGCTTTTGTTTTAGATGTGGTTGTTAATAACTGTGAGTTTGCTGTCCTTTCACTGTTCATCTTTTTTATCTTTTTTTTCTTAGATAAGTCCCTTTAACATTTCATATAATAAGAGCTTGGTGATGATGAACTCCTTGAATTTGATCTTATCTGAGAAGCACTTTATCTGTCCTTCCATTCTAAATGAAAGTTTTGCTGGATAGAGTAATCTTGGTTGTAGATCTTTGGATTTCATGACTTGGAATACCTCTTTCCAGCCCCTTCTTGCCTGAAAGGTCTCTTTTGAGAAATCTGCTGACAGTCTGCTGGGAACTCCTTTGTAGGTGACTGTCCCCTTATGTCTTGCTGCTTCTAGGATTCTCTCCTTCATTTTAATCTTGGCTAATGTAATGATGATGTGCCTTTGTGTGTTTCTTCTTGGGTCCAACTTCTTTGGGACTCTCTGAGCTTCCTGGATTTCCTGGAAGTCTATTTCCTTTGCCAGATTGGGGAAATTTTCCTTTATTATTTGTTCAAATAAGTTTTCCACTGGTGGCTGTGCCTTTCCCCCTTCTTGTACCCCTATAATTTGGATGTTGGAGCGTTTAATGATGTGCTAGAGGTTCCTAAGTCTCTCCTCATTTTTTGAATTTTTGTTTCTTCATATTTTCCTGTTCGGTCATTTTTTCCTTCCTTCTGTTTCACTCCTTTGATTTGAGGCCCAGTTTCCTTTTCATCACTGTTGGTTTCCTGCACATTTCCATTCATTTCAATGAGTTTAGCCTTCATATGTTCCTCTAATTTGTGACTAAAATCAACCAGTTCTGCAAGCATCCTGATTACCAGTGTTTTGAACTGTGCATCTGAAAGTTATGCTATTTCTTCATTACTTAGAGTTATGGGCTAGAGCCCATAACTTTGAGATCTTCTTGAGCCATTTTTGGTCTGTTTGCGCCCCTTCAGTATGAGGAGGGGAGCCTTAGGGGTGGGGCGGGGCGGGGCGTGGCCACCAGGGCAAGGTCGCTGGGTTGTGATGCTGTATGTGGGGGCGGGGTCAGAGCGGGGAAATGGCTATCCTCTTTGCTCCCACCTGCCACTGGGGCCCACTGGGGCCCACTGGGGCCCGCTGGGGCCCGCTTAGTCCCGTCTCACTGCCCACTCCCTGGCTGGTCTATCTGCGCAGGAATGCGGCACCAGAGTCAATGCGCTGCCCAGCGCCCTTGCTGGGTCCCCGGGTCACTCACTGGGTCTGCCCTTTGCAACCCCACACCTGGGATTTGCGCGAGTCCGTCTGACTGAGTTTTCCTGTACAACCCTGCTCCGCCAGCTGCTGGTTTCGCCCCTCTTACCGGTCAGGCTGAAGCATTCGTTGTTACCAGACTTCCGAAAAGTTCAATTTTCTGTGTTCTGACTATGTTTTCTGTTGCAAATATTTTGTTGTCTCTAAACTTGGTTATGTGAGAAAGCAAGGCATCTCCACCTATGCCTCCATCTTGGGGGAAGTCAGGTTTTTGCTTTTTTATTGAGTGAGTTTTGTAACATTTTTCCTTGATAATTGTCTTATTTCAGCTAGGTTTTCAACTATTATTGGCATGAAAATATTAGATTTCTGATATCA